AATAAAAAACACCAATAAAAAACAAAGCTGTAATCCCAGAGGTAATCTGTTGTTTTGCCTCTGCTTTCTTTTATCGAAGAATTTCATGCATAATGAAGTATGGGGTTATACGGAAATCTTGCCCAAAAGAACTTCAGCAATCACATATTATCGAAAATAAAGGGAAATGAAAGCAAAAATTAGTAATCTGGTGCAGTCAACCTTTCCAGATCTGATTCCCCTGAGGAGAAAATTTCTTTCGCACGTAGAAAATGGCACGCTGGACGCTTTCATGGCGATAGGGGTTGTTTTCAGTCAGGCGTTCCAAACTGAAAAGTGAAACTTGTCAGTTACCTGGCACTAATTTGATAGCCGCTGATTATTTATAACTGCGGACGAAGGATGCAGGTAATAAAAATGAAGGGAAGAGGAGGGAAGAGTTAAGGAGAGTCGATTAGAGTTGATTAGAGAAAAAAATATCGTGTGTCTGTTCCATTGTCTTCTTCGCCGCGTTACGGCTAGGGCTGCGAAGAAATCACTTATTTTCGAGTTTCAAACTGACAAGAAAACAGCGTGATGCGACCAGATCCTCTTCCATAATGCGACTGAGGTACATGACATCATTTTGTAGAGCTGGTTATGTAAGCACGTGTTCGCTTCAAAGAGCGTTTCTGTCTTCAGAGGCTCCTCATTCCAGTAAGACCCTTGAAGGCGGCAAAAATTTGGATAGCGAAAAGAAGACAAAGAGCAACGGAGATACTGCAGTGGCTGTGAGATTATTTGAAGTCATCAAAAAATATGCTAAATCCCGTGATGTACAAACCAAAACCGAATTGCTAAAATCATACTGCGACTGGGGACTTTATGATCAAGCTATGAAAATTGTGCGATCCATTGTCAATACCAAGGTTTACGAAACAGATTCTTATGACGTGGTAATAAAAAGTATGATAGGGCGTGGACAGATAGAAAGAGCCTTACAGGTCTTCGAGGAGAAATTGGAGAGGCAACAAAACTTTCCAACCAGAACATGCGTAGGTAATAAAGACTTTGGAGAATTGATTGAACTACTTCTCAATCGCGAAAATCTATTCGTTAAGGGGAAAAATTTTGATGGGCATCGTCATTATAAAACGTCACAGATGGTGTTTCGTTATATTCAACAAAGGGGCACAAGGTTACCTGTAAGATTAATTCGTCTAATTCACTATTGGCTTTTGTGTGATCCACATAAGTCCTGGACTTGGCAGCACTGCACAATCAGTGAAGCAGGGAAATGCTCTGCCTGTGGACATATGTTGATAAAACAATCACCTCAAGAGGATTTACACCAGTTGCAAAAGGAAATTGTAAAGCTGATTGAAATTTGGCCAAAGTCTACTTTTCAACCGACAGATAGAAATTTAGAATACCAGAGGACTCAAGAGATACAAACACTGAAGACATTTGTTAAAGCAAAGGGACCATTTGATGTCATTATAGATGGCTGGAATGCCATGAATGTGTACTCTGGTGCAGAAACAATCACTTATACAGACAAGCTTATAGAGGTAGCAAGTCACTTTGCCCTGCAAAAGAAGAATGTTGTGGTTGTATTATCTGAGACAGGCTCATTATCTCAGAAACTCTTGAGGTATCTTAATCGAGCAATCAGGGATCTCAGAACTGTTAATTGTCATGTTTTTGTGAGCAGGTTTGAGAATGATGATTTGTACCTTTTGTATGCCGCAGCTATGAGTGGATTGGGACATGTCGAGGTTGTAACCAATGATAAACTCCGAGATCATCGCCTCTTATTACCAGCAGAAGTAGGGTGGACATTCTCAAGATGGGCAAGGTTAAACTGTGTAACTTTTACAAGTGAAAAAAAGGAAAAATTGCAATTTTTCAGACACAAAGTTGACCCTGTGGTGCAGTACAATGGGAATTCATGGCATTTTCCTGTTTCTGATGAAACATGGAGGTGTTCAAGGAGATCACAACGTTATAAAAGTTTATATTAGATGCACTTTTTTAAAAGCTGTGTAAAATGGAAAATATTGAAACTAGTTTATTGAGTTAAAACCAAATAGGTCCTCAAGTAAACAAATGTAAGAGGTTAATCTTGTGGATATTTGATGAGATTCATGCCACCATGTGGCACTTCTGTAAATGTTATCAGGGCTTGAAATTAAAAAGAATTCTCAGTCACAATTTGTGAGTAATTGCTAAAGTTTAGCTGCAAGTTTGAAAATTTTAGTTGCAAAAGTAACCTACTTCTACTGGAACCAGAAATTAGAAACAAAGATTTCCTAGAAATTTCACGAGCGCTGCAGGGCGTGGTTTCAGAAAAAGTGCACCCATGATACATTTGTCAGCAAGAAATCAATGATAAAAGTCACATATAACTTGAATTTTGCAGGATTTTTTTGGATAAAACTACTGCAATCAGTAACACGTAAGACACAAGGCAGTTAAATATAATTTAATCACAAGCTAGGCTGTAAAATGGTTGCAAAATCATTAGCAATGGAGAAATTTTAGTTACAAAAGTTAAATCTTTATTTGCAAATGTGCCCCATACAGGTGCAATTTCAAGCCCAGGCTATTACTGTTGAAAAAGGAAAATTGGCGTTTTGTTAAACGATAGTTGTGAATTCCTTCTTGCTTTAAATTAAGTATCTCTTTTATGCACTGTTCTTTGCAAAGCTTCAAGGTACACCCCTACCCCTCCCCCCCTTACCCTAGGCAACCCATGCCACAGGTATTTGAATGTTATCTGAGCTTGAGGGGTGTGGAATTTGAACAGAAATGTCTAGTCTATCCATCATAATACATGTGTTATCTTTTATTATGAAGGTGTTATAGGAAAAAAGCTCACTTTGGAAAGCAGACGCCTCAGAAGAATAGATCTACATAATCCGCGCAAAATTTTAAAGATAAATCAGCTGTCTTGCATGTGTTTATTCAGTCAGGCGTTCCAAGAGCGAAACTGACACTCAAGCATCAACTGGCACTAGTTCAGAAGCCGCTGATTGTATGACTGCTGTTTCACGATGGTAATAAGAGGACAAGGGGTTTGAGGAGAGTAGCCTATATTCGTTGTGCTTGTGTCATCATCCTGACAGTTGTGTGACTGAAGTTGTTGGAAAATTTTTAGAAACGTGTAGCTGTTTTGTCCAACGAGAACAAGATATGATTCAGCTTAGGTGTTTCGCATCAATCAGGAGAGCTTGTATTACAAGCACGTACTTGTTTTACAGATTCTCTCTATCTTCAAAAGCTTGTAGTTCCATTTATCGCTGTACCTCCGGAAACGGCCAAAATCTAGAGACTGAAACGAAGATGAAACACTACATTAAAACTAGTAATGTTACAGATGCTGTGAGGCTGTTTGAAGAGAGCAGGAACGGTGGAAAGTCGTGGAAAATAGACGGTTGTTACTCTTGGCTGCTACATCTGTTTGTGCAACACAATGAACACGAAGCCGTAGATAAGCTGTACGAAGACATGAAACGGAACGTTATTTTCATCGGTGAGGGAGCTAGGTTCTCAATGATTAAATCTTACAGCAAACGGGAACTTTTCGATCAGGCTGTCGACATGCTGCAATCCGTTGTGGAAAGTGATATAGCTCATCACACACGTCATTATGACTATATAATTACCTCTATGGCCAAGAGTGGACAAACGAAAAAAGCTTTACGGGTCTTTCAGGAGAAACTAGAAAGGTTGAAAAATTTTGGAATTAATGAAAACTTGTCTGCACCAATCAAGGACATGATTGAATTGCTTCTCAACCCTAAGAATCTTCAAGTCAAAGAGAGGGATCGTGGTAAGGGAGGCAGAGTTGATACGAACCATCACCAAAGAATGTCACATACGGTTTTTTGTTATCTTCAACAAATTGGTGAAAGGTTACCGGTCCAAATGCTCGTAGCAGTTCGCTCTTGGCTGAATCACGACCCAATTTATCCGTGGAGGTGGAAATACAGCAGAATAAGTGAAGCAGGAACATGTTCATCTTGTGGAAATCAATTGGTGAGTGGCATTCTCCCAGGAGATCTACAACAATTGGGAAAGGAACTAATCAAACTGTCCAACAGCCCTCAACTGTGTATTTCCAAAGTAGATGGCCAAAATCTAGAAAAGAAAATACAGAAAGAGTTGGAAGAATTGAAGAGCTTTATTCAAAGAAGGGGACCATTTGATGTAGTAATTGATGGCATGAATGTTGCTGCTTATGGCTCTGGCCCTGGAGCTAAGATTTCATTTTCCACAGACAGGCTGGTGGCCACAGCACATCATTTTGTGGCACAACAAAAGAAAGTGCTTGTAATAGTAAACAAAGCTTGGAGTACTACTATTTACAAGCATGGGGATATTTTTGCTTTTTTCAGGAATGAGTTTAGAAATGATGACTTGTATGTTTTGTATGCTGCAGCCTTCAGTGGAATGCAACATGTTGAGATTGTCACCAATGACAGACTCAGAGATCATTGCCGCCTACTGCCAAGCAATGTATGGTGGACATATTTAAGATGGACAAGATTAAATTGTGTATCCTTCACAGTCAATGAAAGAGGAAAACTGCAGTTTTTCAGGGAAAACGTTGATCCAGTAGTGCAGCATAGTGGGAATTCCTGGCATTTCCCAGTTGAGGATCGATCATGGAGATGTGCCACAAAATTGGGCATTAGGAGACCTGCAACAAAAAGTTAGCCTGTAATAAATCTGGATAATGAAGCTTTGAAAACATGTGAATCTTATGCTCTTTAAATTTTTTCAAAATTAGCTAGAAATCAGCATCAGCTAGAAGTTAGTGTAATTTCAAATAAGTACAATACAATACAATGTTCTTTATTTCAAGAGGGTAAATACATGATTAACCCAGTAAAGAGTTTTCTAACACATGGCCCTCTGTAAACCCACCCATCCCACCCAGGGGAGGACATCCATCACACAGTAATCTCGTGTGTGGGAAATTAACGTCTCCTACCCCAGCCCTGCAGGAGACGGGACCTCCATTTATTCGTGCCTATCTGAGAAGACTAGAATATCTAAACCATTTCTTGATGTTATAGAAAGGCAGCATATTCTTCTCAATTATTTTAAGACCCCGAGTGTTGGTCTGGCCGGGGCCTGAACCCTCGACCTACCGCACAACAGTCCAGCGCTCTATCCATTGAGCTAACCGGGAGGCTATAAGTGACATCAAGACAGGGTTTAACAGAAGTTGGTAGGCCAAAATACCTGTACAGCAGGCTTGTGATTAAAGTGGGCAGGAGTAATATGGATCAGTCAAAATGGGGATCAAAAATCTCATGAGATACATCCCTTACATATATTACTCTTCTTCATGCCAAGCACCTGCTAAAGAATGGGCCTTTTTCAGGAAATCATGTAATTCTATGTAATATTGGCACATTTTGTAGGTGCCATTAAAGATGTAAACACATCCAGCTATCAGGAAATTCTTAAGAAAATAAGAAATTCAGCTTTTAAATGCTGTTGTCCTTGATGTTGTCATTCTGACTGCATTAGGTCCCTAACGTTAAAGAGGATGCATTGCATGACTAGCCCCAACAAACTCTGTAAAGGAGACTAGATCGCTAGATAGTGCAATGATCACAATTTACAGAAAGCCCCTCTCTTATTATAAACGAAAACGCAGTCAAACAAGTAACCACTGCTAAATCCCTTGGAGATTATGTCGATCAAAATATAAATTGGGAGTGTCCTATTGAAAACATCTCTAAGATAGCTTGTGCCATTGGTGCGATTAAACGAATTCGGCATCTCACTCCATTTAATGTTTAATTAAAGTTTATAATAGCCTTACTCAACCACATTGTGATTATTGCAACATAGTGTGGGGAAACTGTAACAAAGGCCTTTCTGAAAAACTGCGAAGGCTGCAAATCGGGCTGCTCGCATCCTAATGCCAGCAAGCCATGATAGTAATTTGGATGATTTGTTCTGGGGGCTAGGGTGGCAAAGACTCTACTATCAAAGATTGGAACATAAATCTATCCTAATGTATACAACATTACATGGTATGACACCTGATTATCTGAGATCAAGATTTGAAAATCGTGACAGTGTAAGTGCTTATCGTTTAAGGAATACCGAAAACAAATTAGTTCTTCCATAACCTTGAACTGACTATCTCAAGAGAAGTTTTTTGTACAGCGTAGCTCAATTGTGGAACAACTTACCTACAGACTAACACAAGTGTCTTCGCTGACTGATTTCAAATCTAAATTAAATTTTGGACAGAGCCTCCATGAAAAGCAGAATTTTTGTTTATTTCTTTTATTTGAATTGTTACTATCAAATCATTATTGTAGTTAGATAGATAGGTTTCCAGTGTAGAATTAACTAAATCAACTGGTGGAAAAACCATGTATAAAAAATAAAGTTATCGCATCCTATCCTATAGTGCATAATTCCTGGTGATGTGAAAATGTGAATACTGTACTTTTCAAGCTGGCCGACAACTTCACCCCTCGCTTCTCCCTTAAAAAAAAAAAAACAACAAACTAACAAACAAAAATTATAAAAATTTTACACTTCACAATTTGTAGTGTTTTAAAGTTTAATTTTTAACCACTTTACACCTAGTAATAAGTAAAGTTATAATTACACTTTACAGTAAAAGTGAATACTTGTTCAATTTGAGCTAATGTTAATCGTGTCACTTTCTGTAACGTAAGCTTTGCCTGAAAACATGGCTGTAAATCTCACTTTTGCTCTTCACTGGGGGGAGGGGAGTTTAAAAGGTGAAGTTTAGCAAACATAAGGAGTTTTGGTCATTTGCCGAACATCTTTGAATAGATTTGTTTTTCTTTGTTGCGATGCTCCTCCATCAACTTTTTTAGTCTTGCCATCTCGTTCTTTATGCCTACAAAAACCACAAACATTAGTCTAAATTAATTCACTAGTAAAACCAACTTGTTTCAAAAGTAAGTTACCGCATTCTGTCAGAGAATAACTGAGTAGGTCACAATGTTTAAAAGCTTAATAAGCTCCAGACCAAATGCAACTAATACTGTAATGTCAAAGCTTTGTAACTGAATGATAATTTGAAAGGGCCATGCCCACCCCCACCCACATCTACCTATGGGTAATTTTACAAGTTGTCAGAAACACCAAAATTCTTCCAACAGCAGATTTGTCTATTATGGATCAACTCAAAGTATTTACAGGTGTAAAATTTACTTATCTCAAAAAATTTCGTATCTAATTTCCAGTTCAATAGCAACAAAATTCTTTGTTTTTTTTTTTTGCACAACCCCCATTAAAAATCCCTAGATCCACTCCAGTTAGGGTGGCTGATGTGTGGAGTTTAGATGGAGCTCCTTGAGCACTAGCTTATTTGAGAAAATACAGAAACTTACTTTTGTCATTGGGTTCCAATTTAGCAGCAGCCTGGAAACCAACCTGTTAAGTTAAACAACAAAAGCAAAATGATGGTCTTCATCTCCATCACAGACATATCATAACATTAAACTGTACCTAAAAACGTCAAGTGTCCTCACCATTGCCTGATCAAAGTCCTTCATGTTCATGTAAGCCTGTCCTTTTCTATAGAGAGCTTTTACATTTTTATCGTCTACATCCAGCACCTTGAAGCAGAAAGAATATGCATGACTGACTTGGAATAAATATTCTTACCACAAAAGAAATGCCAAAAAGGTTGACATTACCTGAGTAGAGCTTCCCAGGGATAACCAATGACGTAAGAAAAAAGAAAATACTTCAACTGTTTTGGTGATGTTAACAACACTTTAAAACACTGATTTCTAGCCTCGTTTTACTCAAGACAATTCATAGTGCTGCTTTGTGGTGGCACATGTTAAATTTTCCTTGAAAACTGTTCCAAGGAATACTACCTCAACTATGAGACCATCCTCGAAGACCCAGGGGCTGAGTCCATTTCAAGTTAGGGCATGAAGAGCCCCTGGGGACATTGTCTTACAAGACTAGTTCCAAACGGTCGCAGTCGTTCTGCCATCTGATTGGTGCCAGAAAATCTTTGTGTTTTTCTGCCCAATCAGAGTGAAGTGT